GCTTGTTAAAATCTTTGGGGACTATTTTCAGCAAGGGCATTTGTGGGAAGCAGATGAAAGAAAAGTCCCTGGAATCTTCAGTTCTCCTTGGACAGATGCTCTTTTTTTTTGGAATTAGCTCTTGGCATCCTGTAATGTGTAACACAGCTACCAGTAGCTTAATGATCTTGGATATGTCACTTCACCTGTCTGCAACTTGGACTCTGGCTATTTAAAATGCGGTCCTCAGACCAATGTTATTGTCTGCAAGCTTGTAGAATTATAGGATCCTTGGCCCTTTCTAGAACCTACTGAATCAGTTAATGAGATCTTAGAAGGTAGTTCTTTTTTTTTTTTTTAAGGTTTTATTTGTTTATTCATGAGAGACAAACACAGAGACAGAGGCAGAGGGAGAAGCAGGCTCCATGCAGGGAATCCGATGCGGGGACTTGATTATGGGACTGCGGGATCACACCCCAAGCCAAAGGCAGATGCTGAACTACTGAGCCACCGAGGCGTCCCTAGAAAGTAGTTGATCACATTAAAAGTTGGGGAAACTATGCCTTAATATTCACCTGTCAAACAGGGAGAATAGAGGTCCTTCCTCAAGGCTGTTGCGAAGGCTTAATGCATTAATGCATATACATAAAGTATATACAAGAGCACCAGGCACATAGTGGGTGCTATGTGTTTGCTACTTTTATGACTCTTTTCAGCTGGTCATACAAAGTCTCAGACTGACAGGTTTCCTAAATAGAGTGCCTTGAAAAGGGATTTCCCTCTGGTGGTGTGGGCAGGGGGTGAGGAGGATAATACACTTTCCCACTCCTCATGATCAAAGTCCTTTAGCAGAGCCAGATCCAGTGCCAGGGAGCTGACAAGTGAATCTGAGAGCACTTTGGGTAGGAACTGGGTCAGGGTGGCAGCCAGGGAAGATCTGATACTTCTGGCCGCTGAGCGGCGATGCTGATTGAGGTGGCCAGCCCCTGCCATCTACAAAAGGGTTCATGAATAATGCATGTGCCCCGATATTTCCATTTTTCAAAAGAAAGTAAGAGTTTGGATTTTAGGGGTGCTTGGTTGGCTCAGTTGGTAGAGCGGGCAGGTTTTGATCTTAGGGTTGTAAGTCTGAGCCCCAAGTTGGGTGTAGAGATCACTCTAAAAAATTAAGTTAAAACCCTTGGATTTTGGGGCACCTGGTGGCTCAGTGGTTGAGTGTCTGCCTTTGGCTCGGGTCATGATTCCAGCATCCTGAGATCGAGTCCTGCATCAGGCTCCCCACAGGGAGCCTGCTTCTCCCTCTGCCTATGCCTCTGTCTCTGTGTCTCTCATGAATAAACAAAATCTTTTTTTTTTTAAAAAAAGCTTGGATTTTAACATAAAATTGTCCTTTTCTCTTTTTTTTAATATTTTATTTATTGAGACACAGAGAGAGAGAGAGAGAGAGGCAGAGACACAGGCAGAGGGAGAAGCAGGCTCCACGCAGGGAACCCGACGTAGGACTCGATCCGGGATCTCCAGGATCACACCCCGGGCTGCAGGCGGCACCAAACCGCTGCGCCACTGGGGCTGCCCTGTCCTTTTCTTAATAAAAAAAAATTACATAAATGCTTATAGTGGCTTTATTCATAATCAGCCCAAACTGGAAACAATCCAAAGGTCCCTCAACTGGTGAATGGAAAGGAAAAGCAAATTGATCATACGATGAAATATACTCAGCAGAGGAAAAAAAATGAACTATTGATGCATAGTTGCGTAATGCAGCATAATGCATTTGAGATCCCAAATCTTTTGGTGCTGGTGAAGTTACAGTAGTATGGACCAGATTTATCTTTTCATCTGAAACAACCACAAAATGGGGAAGCTATATACAAAATGATGTTTTTTTTTTTAAGATTTTGTTTATTTATTTATTCATTCATGAGAGACAGAGAGAGAGAGAGAGGCAGAGACACAGGCAGAGGGAGAAGCAGGCTCCATGCACCGGGAGCCCGATGTGGGACTTGATCCTGGGACTCCAGGATCACACCCCGGGCTGAAGGTGGCACTAAACCGCTGAGCCACCAGGGCTGCCCCCCCCCCACTTAATGTCTTGAGAGAGTTTCTAGGCACTGGTGCAGGGAGAGGGGGGTCTCACGTGAAGGCTGGCAGATCCCCAGAGTTGACAAGATAGAGCTGAGAGCCCAGGGGGACTGGGGAGGTTAGAATTGTAGAGAGGAAACAGCTGCACACAGAGAATCCAGAGGCCTGCCAAACCCTGCCCCTACCCCCAGCAGTCAGCTGAGTACTGGTCAACATGTATGCAAGGACAACCACCTGAAGCCAGGGAAAGAACCACCTAAAATAATTAGAAGTAAGCATGTATAGCACTCACACTGGCCCAGGAACAGTGCCTTGTTCCACTAGCCACCCTGAAAAACTTCATGACTCATTGGTCCTACCTCACATAGTGGGGAAAAATTAGCTCTAGACTGAGCAGTTTTAGTCTCAGATAAATGTTAAAAGCAAGATTTGAAAGGATAAAATTGTTTCCAAGTAACTACGTCTAATTTAAAGCTCAAGAATATTTTTAGGAAAACTGAAATACAAAAGAAGGAGGGGGAGGGGAGAGATAGGGAGGAAGAGAAGAAAAAGTGGTTGAGGAAGGGAACCAATCAACAAGGTAAAATTCACAATGCCTGACATCCAATCAGCAATGCATCCAATCATGCATCCGGGCATGCAAACAAAGCCTTTTCACGTTTATTGGGAGATATTGTTATGAATTGAATTGTGTCTCCCAAAGATATGCTGAAGCTCCAACCCCCAGGGATGAGAATCAAAACTCAAAGTTCGTCATTAATTTGTTGGGAATCTTGAGTAAGTCATGCTTTTCTTCAGGCCTCATTTAAGAATTCCATATATTTCTGTGTGCTTATGTGTATATTCCCTATGCAGTTTTTGGAGTGGTTTGTGAACCCCAAAAGTTGAGAACCTCTGCAGTAGATGATCTTTCATGTGTATTCCTCCAGTAGATATTAAGGCCTTACTATGTGCCACACTCTGGGGATACAGTGATGCCGGAGAGAGACACAAGATCCCTGAGATCTCATGCAGATTATATACTCAGGGAGGGATTCATACAACCAACATGGAGACAAGTACTTTCACATAATGGTAACTTATACAAAGGAAATAAGACAGGTAACATATAAGTGATTGGGATGAGGCTTGAAGCTCTGGGTATTCAGGAAAGGTCTTTTTTTTTTTTTTTCAGAGATGTTACACTTTGAATTGTGTCCCCCAGAAAGATATGTTGAAGGTCTAATACCCACTATGTCAGAACACGATCTTATTTGGAAATAGGGTCTTTAAAAAAAAAAAAAAAGGAAACAGGGTCTTTGAAGATGTAATTAGTTAAATTTAGATGAGGTCATGCTGAAGTGTGGTGGACCCTTAAATCCAGTAAGACTGGTGTCCTTATAAGAGGAGAGGATACAGAGACAAGCACACAGGGAAGAAAGCCATATAACAACAGAGGCAGTGCTGGAGGGATGAAGCTGCAAGGCAAGGAATGCTAAAGATTGAGGGCCACCACAAGATAGGAAGAAGTTAGGAAAGACTTTACCCAGTTTGGAGCTTGTCTTTGCTGACACCTTGATTTCACACTTCCAGCCTCCAAAACTGTGAAAGAATATATTTCTATTGTTTAAACCACTCAGTTTATGGTATTTAAGCAGTCCAGTTTGTGGTTAAGGCAGCTCTAGGATTTTTTTTTTAAGATTTTATTTATTTATTGAGACACACACACACACACACACACACACACAGAAGAGAGAGAGAGAGGCAGAGACACAGGCAGAGGGAGAAGCAGGCTCCATACAGGGAGCCTGACGTGGGACTCGATCCCAGTCTCCAGGATCAGGCCCTGGATTGAAGATGCTGCTACACTGCTGAGCCACCCAGGCTGCCCAAAAGTACAGAACTTTTTTTTTTTTGAAGACTTTATTTATTTATTCATGAGAGATACACACACACAGAGAGAGAGGCAGAGACACAGGCAGAGGGAGAAGCAGGCTCCATGCAGGAAGCCGGAGTGGGACTCCATCCCGGGTCTCCAGGATCAAGTCCTGGACAGAAGGCGGTGCTAAACTGCTGAGCCACCTGGGCTGCCCCCTAGGACTTCTTTTCTCTTTCTTTTTTGGTAAGTAGGCTCCATGTCCAATGTAGAGCTTGAACTCAGGACTCTGAGATCAAAAGTTCCATGCTCTATCCACTGAGCCAGCCAGCTGCCCCCAGCAGCCCTAGGAAATTAATACAGGTGTCGCTATAACTAAGGCTTGAATAATGAGAAAAAGGCAACCATATGAAGATTTAGAGGGAATGTTCCATGCAAGGATAGGATGAGAAAAAAGTGTCTGGGAAGTACTGATCCAGGGGGGTGAGATAGGAGATGTCACTGGGAAGGGAGGCAGGGACAGATCGTAAGTCCATGCAGGGAAGGAGAGGCAATGGTGTCACATGAGCCCCAGACACTGCTGTCGAGAGTCGCGCAGAATCTCTCGCAGGGGACTCATGCAGATGCCAGGAGTCTAGATGTATTAGTTGCAGTAAGTAACGACACGGTGAGACGTCGGGTCCCTCTCTGCCCTTCCCCTTCCCCTCCCTGCCTGGCGACCTTGCTGGATGGTCAATGTCAGTTCTAGCATTACAGGCCATTGGCTTTGGCTCTGTTCAGGAGTGGTGAGCTCTCACCTCCCCCAAATCCTCCTTCCTCCCGACTCCGGACATGCCAAATAAACACAATCTTGTGCAAATGCAGGGCGAAGTTCCCCAGCGTCAACCAGGAGAGCCTGGAAGGGCAGCGGCACCCGCCAGGAGACAGCAACCGACCCTGCCAAGACCCGCAGAACCACAGCGGCCTCGCGGCGGGCGCGCGGGGGCGGAGCCGGGGGAGGTGCGTGCGCACGCGCGGGCCGCCTCCCGGCGAGGGGGTGGGGCGGGGGCCGGGCGGGGGCCGTGACGTCAGCTGCGCGCGTGGCTCCGGCTGCGCAGGAACAGCTGGTGCCTCCGAAGGCGGCGGGCGAGTGGCCGCGCCGGGGTGCCGGTGTCCGCCCGCGCCGCGCTGCGGGAGCTGCCGCCGCCTCGCGCCGCCGCGCCATGTCCGGCCAGCTGGAGCGTTGCGAGCGCGAGTGGCACGAGCTGGAGGGAGAATTTCAGGAACTGCAGGTAGGGCCGGGCCACCTGGTCGCGCAACTCTGCTACCTGCGGTGCAGTGCCTTCCCCTTCCTGCTTGCCCAGCCGGCGCGGTGGGGATCATCAGGGTCCAGGGCGGTGCCCCTGGCTGGGCACCAGGGGCTGGTGGTCCGCGTGGGCCAGCACCCTCCTAACTGCCAGCACTTCAGTTCTTCATCCACTTGGGGCGCCCGGTCGTAGCCCCCCATTACCCCGCCTTCGCCCCGGCTCTGCTCCGCACACCTCCTCCTCTGCAGAAAGTTGGTCTGTGGCCTCTGACGGGAAGTTCCAGGTGTGTCATATGGGGCAAGCCTGAGGGGACAGATTTGTCCTGGGTTTCACAAAACAGCCCAACCCCCACCTCGGCAGGGGTCTCCCCTAACCTCACCCCGTCCACCTGCTTTTGGCAGCTCAGCTTCTCTGTTCTGGTGAGGTAGCCCTCCCTTGTGCGACTGCATATTGTGAGATGTGCTTGGGAGCCGTTCACCTTGAACCCCTAGGCTTTGCTTAGGGATTAAGGACCCCTATTCTGCGTTTTTGGGGCTCTGGTGTCTATGCCCTACTCTCCACCGCTGCTGCAGACTGCTTGGCCTTGTGGATGACACCTGTCAGTTCTGACAGCTGGTTTGCCCCCGTCAGTGATAGAGGCTGCTCAGAGCCCTCACCCATCTGGCCCAGAACTTTACACCGGGTAGGATGAGGCCAGATGTAAGAGAGGCCCCTCGAGAGAATGACATTGCCCCTGTGAGGTCCTGGCCGGAGGAGTTGTTCTTGCAAGGAGGTTCAAAGAGGTCCCAGCTACCAACTCAGGTGACTAGAGACACCTCATTTGAAACCTTGGCATTGGCCAAGAGGGACTTCTGGAGCGCTTCTGGGGATGGAGCTATTTTCTTCTCCAGCTACTAGATTGTATTTGTTTTCTGTGGAGTTGGGCTCTGTTTGCCAGAAATCACATTGCACAGCCTCACCCCACTTCTTCCTATCCTCAGCTGGAGCAATGACATGGAGCTCTTATCTGCAGTTGGTTGGCCTCTTACAGTGTCCACAGGAGGGGAGAGGATTTTGTCTATGATGGGTCTTCTAGACATGAGGCAATAGACCTTGATGTTTAAAGAGAGGGGTGCTGCAGAGATGGAGCAGGAAGGTGAAGGTGTGGGGTCTGTTTTAAGCATGAGCAGAGAATAACGTAGGCCTTTTTTGGCCTGTGGGGCACGTGTGGGTTGGTGCCCTCTCCTTCAGGTCCAGGGCATAGGGCTCACCCAGTTCCGAGGGGATCCTTCTGGCTCCAGTCCCATCTAGAAGATTCAGCTGCTTCTTAACACTTTGTCCTATTGGGCTCTCGGATCATGTTCAGCCGTGGAATCATGGAAGGGGCATTAGGGTTGAGAGTGGGTGAAGAGTTTTACTGTGAGGAGCTTTTTTCCTGAATTGCTTTCCCTTGCCCTGCCTTATACTAGGAGGAAGAGTTGTCTTAACACTTCAGAGCCATTCAGTTAATGCAATCAACAGCAATTAGATAGCTAGTCTTGGCAGGCAGCACTTGAAAAGGAGGCATTTATGTTCTTACTTCATATCTTTGGGGTTCAGGTGTGTGAGGGACAGAGAGGAATGGAGAATTCTGGATTTTGTCCCCTGGTGCACAGCAAGGGCTGTAGGACAGCTGACTGGGGGGTAGGAGGAGCTGTGATGTCACCTGCTCAGTTCTTCAGCAATGGGGGAACTGGAATGGACTGGGCCTTTGGAGAAGAGGGACCCTGCTGGCCTCAGGATTTGGTGGACAACTCCCAGGTCAGAGGCCAGTGACGGATGGAAGGCCACAGAGTCCCCTGTGAGTCAAGGTCATAGACTAGAGCAAAAACATTGTCTATATCTTCAGTTCATAGATGGGAAGCTGAAGCTTGAGAATCTAATTCACTCAACTGGGGTCACACAGCTCTTGAGTGGTAAAGCTGGCACTAGAACTTATTATTCTAAATGCTTAGTTCGGATGTCTCTCGTTGTGCTGGGAGGCCCCTCTCTTACCTCCACATCCCCCATAATAAATATGAGAACTTTGAACTCCTGAGATGAAAGTTTCTGGGATAGGTGTATAATAAGTAGGGTGTACATCCTCATTGTGTGTGTGTTGGACAGACTTTCAAATATGTATTGGGGAGCAAGGAAGTCACAACAGGTAGGCAGGTGGAGAGATTGGAACTAGAAAGGAAGGATTTATTATTATTATTTTTTTTAACCAGAAAATTCCTGTCTCAGTTTTCCCTGTGTATGCCTCAGAATCTGGGATTGGTGGGTTTCATGTTTGCACCTCTCTGATTATGTCTTTCTTGAGGTCATAGCTAATGTCTCTGTTTCACCTCTCCTTCCCTTTTTCAAATGAGGAGAGGAAAGAGGAAACCTAGTTGTCAGACCCCAGAGGATTTGAAAGGTCTTTGGAATTCCCCGCCCTCTTGGCAAAAGTCAAGTCATAATCTCTAGGACTTTCTAGAGGAAAGGACCTGTTTTCTTTTGACTGTGATTTGTATCTGCCAGAGCCTCACTAGATTCGGGGGCAAGGTCAAGTGGCTATGGGGACTTTGTTTTCAGCTGGTTGGGATTTCAGCCATGCTGGTGAATTGAGCATCTGTCTGAAACCAGTCCACGTTTGGCCCTGTGGCCTGTGGTATGACCACAGAAGGTCACTTACAGACACCGTGGCAGGTGATTTAATAAACATTTCCTGACTTGCATCACTGGAAACTTGACCCCATCTCTGTCCATCCAGGAAGGAGGTGGCCCGAAGAGGCCTTTCCTTAAACCTGACTTCACAGAAATGCAGGGGCCTGGTAGGCCAGTGTCAAGGTTTTTGGCTTTTCCTACCAATGAAACAGGCAGCCCTCTGGCTGCTGTGTATAGAATAGCTATGAGAGGGACAGGGTAGAAACAAGAAGGTCAGTATTATTTTATTAAAGCTCTATGAAATAGATCCTCTTATCCCATTTTACAGAGAGAAAATCATATACCCAAAGCCACATGTCTTGTATATATTGGAGTCAGGATTCAAGCCCAGGCTGTTGAACATCAAGGTCTATACTCTTAACCACTACCTAAGGCAGGTCTGTGCCTTTTGTAGCCTTTTGTTTCTCATTCCTCTTGCATGGCCCTTATGGATCTCTTTCTTTAGAAGAGGGCTGTGTGGAAAGAACCCCTGGCCTGCCCCTGTCTACTACCTGCAAGCTGCCTCTCTGAGTTTGAGTTTCTTTATCTATAAAACAAAGGCTGACAATAATAGCAACAGTAAGAGCTAACTGTATGATCTATGGATTATTTCATTTAATCTACTTTCTACTGAGGCTGAGAGATCTTAAGTAGCTTGAAAATCATGGGATTTTGGAATTTGAACCCAAGTCTGCTGTGTACATCAGATATTCTTTGAGTTCTTAACACAGTGGACTCCCAAAGTATCTTGAGACCCTGGGCTCTGGAAAGAAATATTGAACTTTTGAGGTCTCATTTAATTTGTACAGTGCTTTGACATAATGCATTAGTCAGGATTCTTAGTTGCAAGTGACAGAAACCTCGTTCAGCTGGCTTTAAGCCAAAAAAAAAAAAGGAGTTTATTGGCTCATATATTGGGAAGTCCAGTGACAAATGGCTTCAAGTCAGGCTTGATCTTGGCGCTCCAATGATGTCTTTGTGTGTATCTCTGTTTCTTCTTCCCTTTTTTTTTTTAAAAGATTTTATTTATTTATTTGAGAGAGAGCATAGCAGGGGGAGGAGCAGAGGGAGAAGGGCAAGCCGACTTTGCATTGAGGGCACAGCTTGAGGTGGGGCTGGATCCCATGACCCTGAGATCATGACCCTAGCTAAACCAAGAGTTGGATGCTTAACTGACTGAGCCACCCAGGCACCCCCTCTCTGTTTCTTCTATATCAGCCTTATTGTCAGGCAGTCTCTCCCACGTGTGGTAAATATGTGCACTGGCAACCCCAGGCTGGCATCTACCAGCTTAGCAAATCTGGCAGAAACAGAGCATCTTCCCTGGTAATTCCAGCAGGAGTCCCAGGGCCAACTTTTTGTCCTAACATGGGTCATATGATTATCCCTTACTTAACCAGCTACTGTGGCACTTATTGGCTGGGCATTGGTTACATGTCTTCCCTGGAGCCTAGGACTGGAATGAAGGCTATATGAAATAAGAATAATCCAGTTAATCCTATAAAGGAAAATGAAAATACTGGTAGTATGGCTGGGTGGCTCAGTGGTTGACCCTCTTTGCCTTTGGCTCAGGGCATGATCCCGGAGTCCAGGGATAGAGCTCCACATCGGACTCCCTGCATGGAGTCTGCTTCTCCTCCCTCTGCCTGTTTCTCTGCCTCTCTGTGTGTCTCTCATGAATAAATAAGTAAAATCTTAAAAAAAAATACTGGTAATAAAAGAAAGAAAGGGATGCTGGACACTCATCTTTTGGAGGGGGGAATCCATATTTGTGATTCCCACACTGTGTCAAGGGCACCTTCAAGGAGCTGCTTCAAGCTCACAGGGACACTATAGGGTAAAATTAAATTTTCAAGGAAAACACAATGACATCTGCCATACACCACTTAAACTGCTAATTTGGCATAGTTCACACCTGCACGTTAGATCACACTAAATTCTTTTTAATGATGTCTTATCTTTGTGAAGTTAGGTTTCTAGCGGTCTGTGATTAGAATCAAGTATTATGTGAAAATCTGTATGGAAAAGAAATGATGGTGACAGTGTCCAATCTGATTCCAAGGTTTGAGAATTTAACACAAAGCCCAATAAGTACACACATCCCATTAGTAAATAATTTTGGTTATTTCAAAATGAAATAAAAATGCTTTTGTCAATTTCTGCATATTCTTTTCCTCAAAAGGCTACTGAGTTGTTAGGACATAAATACTTTTCAGTTATTTGACTTGAAAAGTATACTGAGACAAGAAGGGCATGGTGAATCAGCAAAGTTTGTGAACCTTTCTTTTATGTCCTGAGTA